TTCTGAAAATCACTTAATATCACTTAATTCGTTATTAAATGATTATATCCGGATAAAATTCGACATGATTATGTTCTGTGTATAGATAAATCATTCTTTTAAAATGGACCTAAACAAAATTAGTTCGACATATGCATAAATGTTAGTATCCTCAATACGGAAACAAACATTTTGTCAAGTTATCTAAAAATTATATAATTAAATGGGTTTTAATAAAAAGTAACTTATTGGTGGAGGGTATTTAAGATTCGACATAGCCGAATATAGCACTCTAACTTGTTTTTATTTAGCCTATTGTTCTACTGTAGAATAGAACTATTAGTGTTCTAAGTTTCATGTAAATCGGTTCAGTAGTTTGTCCGTGAAAGCGTAACAAACAGACTTGCTCTTTCATATAATTATAGGATAAGATATAGGTAAGGGTAGTTATATAAAAAGTGGGCGTAGAAAGGGCATGGCATCTTAACAAGTTCTTATATATAGCCTATAGTTCTTTCCAAGCTTATACCTATCGGTATGCAAAATTTCAGGTTAATCGGTTTAGTAGTTTTTGCATATTGTGATTGCAAAATTGGTGTAATAATAGTTTCACAAAAAGTGGGCGTAAAAAGGGGCGTGGTATCCGATCAAGATCTTATATATATATATATATATATATATATATATATATATATATATATATATATATATATATATATATATATATATATATATATATATATATATATATATATATATATATATGTATTTCTTCGGTTTTGATGTATATACATCCTCCTTTCAAACTAACTAACTAATGACCAATAATGGACCGATACGGGAAAAATTTGGTAGAATGATTTGTTGGTAGTATGATTTCTGTTCATATAATATTTGTATGTACTAAATTTTGTGTTGATACCGATATATTTGAGGAAGTTTTTAATGATTAACTAATTTCTGGGAATATATACCTTTGTATGGGGGCTATGTGAAATTTTGGATCAATTATTTTGTTTTTCAACACAATTAATCTCTGGGTAAAAAAAATAATGTGTGACAAAATTCATTGAATTATCTTTTGTACCGGATAATAAGGAACGTTTTGGGTGAATTTCGCGAATTTCTATTGCTTCGTTTTAACGAGAGCGTGTTTTAGACAGACAGACGGACATAGCTAAATCGACTAAAAATTTCATAAGGATCAAGTATATACTTTGTTGGGTCGCAGATGAATATTTCTTGGTGTTACACACAGAATGACAAAGTTATATATACCATCTATCACCACTGATGGTGGTGGAGGGTATAAAATCTCTTTATGATATTGATTGGATGATACGCACATTTTTATGTTCACTTTTTGAATAACTGCTATAACACCAAATTTCTAGGCTAAATATAAAAAACATGAACCGATTTTCAAGAAATGTGGCAACATACAGTGTTTGAGGAAGAGAATTTTTAATACACCAAATCCGAATAAATACACCTATAGCACTAATTTCTAAAATGTTTGTAGATCCTTAACTAACTCTACGATTAGGTAAAATAAAAATCTGTATTCAATTTAATATATTATCAAAAATCGATTTTCATCTAAAGCGTTTTCCACCGGAAAACTGTTTTTATTTCAAAATCTGTAATCTGCTGTATATTCTCAGAAAATAACTATTTTAAAACAGAATCTTTATTAGATCTTAAATGAATGTCTACGATGCCACATTTGTATGCAGAATAAAAATTACTGAACAAAAACCGCTTCTAAAATAGGGAAAATAATATATTCATATTACATTTTCACTTGAATTCGAATTTTAAATCGGCTGTGGTTCCTTCCTTTAACACCTAAATCTATCTAGAAAATCATTCATATTTCCCTTAAAATTTCTATTTATATAACTCTTTAAAAAATTACTTTAAATAACTCTCAATTTGAGAAAACAATAAAGATCAGTAATCACTCATATTTTCCATACTAATCGAGTGTTATATCAAAAATAAAAAATTTAAATTTATTGTTAATCGAGATAACAATAAAAATCTATGATCAGGTAAATATGCCATCAAAAAGATATCTTGATATAATTGTTGCCATTTTTCAAATGCAGCTCAAATCTAAAAAAACATGAAGATATGTAATTGAGTACTCATTAATGTGTCCCGAAAGACAGCACTTTTGCAAATCTTACATAGGTAGACCTCTCAAACGATGCATAGAAAGCATTGTTCATATAAAATTTGGATAAATTGATCTTTCGATATCTGTTTATACTTTTAGAAAATTATCCACCAAAAATTCTGCATAACTTTTTGTGTATGTAGCGCCGTATTTATTCTAAGCTTTTCAAATTAAATAATAATTTTGAATAACTCCAGCACACATTTCCCATTTACAAATTCCGATTTTTTTTAATTAGAGGAAGACGTGGATATATTAATAAGTAAAATTATTTGGGTATCTGCTTTGTATATCTAACGATATTTGACCTTTATTTCTTCGGATTTAATAAGTGGTGTCTAATTTCATTCAAAATTTTAGTGTAAGCTAATGAGTGCTATATTCGGCTGAGCCGAATCTTAAATACCCTCCACCAGTTACTTTTATATTAATACTTTTCTAATTGATCAAATATTTGTAGAAATAAGTTTTCTTATTTCTTAAAAAGAAAAAATCCCAAGATTTAAACAGCTTAAATCTATTACAATTTCATGATTTATTGAACATTACAAACGCCATTTTCTTTATATTTTTATAGCGCTTAGCGATATTTAGTAACTAGCTGCGTGTACCCGGCGTTGCCCGGGTTTCTTCGCAAATTAAGAAGAATATTTTTCTATCTGTAATGACTATACTTTTTTTAAATAGATGTCAAAATTTAGCTTATAATGATAAAATAGTTATTATATTTTTCCGCATTTTGTTTAATACTTAAAGTCAGTTTCTGGACCAAAAAGTCCTTTAAAAATGTACAAATTGATAATGAGCTTAAATTAGGAAATTTTGACTAATTTGTAGACAAATTTAAGAAACTTTTTTCGAGAAATTATACTGAAATCAACATTTTCAATCACTGGTGGGGAACTAATTACACTTTCAAATTAGTTGTTTTAATTTTTCCACGTGCAGTAGATTTTAAGAACTGTTCAGTTTAAATTTGGTCACACTTTACTCTGAATTGTAGTGCCCCTGGTTTAAAGAGGCAAAAGGCTTCGGGGCATTTTATTAACTACAAAAATACGTACCATTAAGCATACAAAATTTCAAGCGATTTTCTTACTATTTGAAAAATTACATGCAATTGAAGAAAATCTGAAACCATTATGAAAAATTCTGGACAAAATCATGAAAAATTTGGCCTCATTGCAAGATTTCAAAATTCTTAAAAAAGAACAAAATTACTGTCCTAGGAAAATATGAAGAGTCCTTGAATTTTGACAGAGAAAAAAAAACAACTTTTAATTTGACAAACAATTTTGAGCTGTTCATTAAAGAGTAAAACCGCCGTTTTTATCTCATCATTGTTTCTCAAATAAGTCCATTTATACAAAAGTATGTTTAAAAATATTATTTTTATTCATTAGCTTTTATGCATCCACACTTAAGTTTTGGCTGGATTTAGACAACACTTATTAAATCCGAAGAAATAAAGGTTTAAAGGTCAAATATCGTTAGATATACAAAAAACATACCCAAATAATTTTACTTATTAAAATATCGAAATCTCTGAGAATTTCTACCTATTTATATAAGATTTGCAAAAGTGTTGTCTTTCGGGACACTCTAATGAGTAGTCAAATACATATCTTCATGGTTTTTTAGATTTGAGCTGCATTTAAAAAATGGCAACCGAATTTATATCAAGATAGTTTTTTCATGATATATTTAACTGATCACATATTTTTATTGTTATCTCGATTTAACAATAAATTTATATTTTATATTTTTGATATAAAACTCGATTTGTATGGATAATATTAGTGATTACGCATCTTTATTGTTTTCTCGAATTGAGAGTTATTTAAAGTAAATTTTTAAAGAGTTATATAAATAGAAATTTTAAGAAATTTTTAAGATAAGAATGATTTTCTAGATAGATTTAAGTGTTATATAAGGAACCACAGCCGGTTTAAATTCGAATTTTTGTGAAAATGTAATATGAATATATCATTTACCCTATTTCAGGATCGTAGGAAACTACATCCGATTCTGATTTAAAATAGTTATTTTCTGATATACCCGATTACAGGTTTTGAAATAAGAATAGTTTTCCGGTGGAAAATATAAGTGATGGGAGTATTATATACGGATCTACAACCGATTTTACGCTTTAGATGAAAATCGATTTTTGATAATAAATTAAATTGATTACAGATTTTTATTTTACGTAATCGTAAAGTTAGTTAAACATTATAGAGTTTTCAAATAAAAATACATTTTTGATGAAAAATTTAACTAAATATTAATTCTCATATAATATAAGAACATTCCTGAATTTAGTGGTATAGGTGTATTTTTTTGGATTTGATGTATTAAATATTCTCTTCCTCAAACTAACCTAACCTTCCACGATAGAACTATTGTCATACTAAATTTCATGAAGCATAAAATCCAGATCAAAAAGTTGATTCCAAAAATACACTGTATGCGGCCAAATTTCTTGAAAATCGTTTCATATTTTTTATATTTAGCCTAGAAATTTGGTGTTATAGCTGGTATTTTAAAAGTGAACATAAAAATATGCGTAGCATCCAATCAATATAATATAGAGTCTTTTTTAACGTCTGAGGTTACACCTATTAATATGCCGAATTTTATGTAAATCGGTTTAGTAGTTATGTAATGAAAGAGTAAAAAGGGTCTCATATATATTTATTATTAAATACATATTATACGTTTTGAAGATGGAATGTTTCGTACTGTTCATTCCACAACATTTGTTTTTGTGTGTGCAAAAAAAAGAAATAAAAAGACAAGAAAGTTAAGTTTTTTCAATAAAAAAAGTTTATTTATTAAATTTATATTTACCTTAAAGATTCTCAAAAGGGGTTGTGCACTAAACCAAGTGTTTGTAATGGCGTTCACTTAACAAGTGTTTAAAAAAACAAAAAAAACTATGCAACTAGTTGCGAATTACTTTATACCGTTAGCGGTTTTACTAGTTAGAATTTATCTCTACACTTTTTCAAAGATGAAAAAAGAAGTAGTTAGATAAATCCTAACGTAGTATAAAGGGAATAGAAAATAGGGTTTCAAATTAATTTCTAAAATGAACATTGCCGGCCACCTTGCAACGACGAAGTTAGTTGCAACAACAAATGAGAAATAAAGGTTAATAAATCTAGGATAAACTTATACATATATACATTTTTTTTTCATTATTATATATCTATTTATATTATGTTTTCTTTTCAATTTTTTTTTTTTCATAATTATTATTTTTTTTCAAATTTTAAAAATATCGACGAAAGGTCCAAGGACCATGGTAGATTTTTACGAAGTCTCCCGACTTTCCCCTCAGAACCGAAGTCCCGAAGGCAGATTTTTACGAAGTCTCTCGACTTTCCCCACAGAACCGAAGTCCCGAAGGCAGATTTTTACGAAGTCTCTCGACTTTCCCCACAGAACCGAAGTCCCGAAGGCAGGTTTTTTCAGTCCCTCGACTGTACCCATGAATAAATAAGATTCACAGGTCAAATTAAGAGAAATTTTATTGTTTTTAATACGGGGATTGGCCGGAAATGACCCATCCAAACAAAGTATATTGCGCAAGAGGAATCGAATGGATTTTTCCTTTAATTATAGCCGAACTCAATTCGGGTCCTAACACCAGCGCGACGTTTCCCGACTGATTAAAATTGGGATCAGCTAACTGCATCCCATCAAATACCGACAAAATTTCGGTCGAAATAGTCTCAGTGGGTGTCCGTATCCCAAGCATTTCCCTTACCGTTGCCGTTATTGTTATTTGCGGATATGGCGCATATATTGACGCAATAGTCAAACGACATATTTTGTCCCCGTTTAGGGTCGAAACCGGCAGCGGAAGCTGCTGAATTAATGACTCACATACGTAGGACATTGAACAACATAAATCGATCACCGCGCGTACTAAAATTCTCCTATTACCGATTAGCAAACTAACCTTTAACGTAGGAGAAAGGCTTATAACGTGTCTTACTGGCACGTTAGATATATGGGACGGTGCTTTGAAAGTATTGGCAACGGAACACGAGGGTTTACCTTTAGATTTAACCACCTTTTTTGATGGTCCTTTTCCCGAAGCGTGCAAAAGGGTGTGGTGACTTTCGTTGCATACATTACACTTCATTGGCGATTTGCAATCGATTGCTAAATGCTTAGTCGATAAGCAACGGTAACAATTACGATGTAACACGACAAATCGTAGCTTCTGCTCGTGACTCAATTTTCGGAAGTGCGCACATTTATAAAGGGGATGTTTACCCTTACATTGAAGGCATTTGGATTTGGAAGATTCCGAAACTTTCGAACCCGAGCGTTCCTCATTCGAAGACTTTGTTGTTGGTGGAGCTGCTGCTGTATCTGGACAAGCGATCACTAAAGCAGGCAACTCTGGTGCTATATCAGATGCCGAAGTAGGTGTTGGAGTAAGGGTTAGAGATGGTGTTGGAGCAGGAACTGGATCCGGTATTGTAGCAGGGGCTGAAACAGGGGCTGGATCAGCTACTGTAGCCACCTTAGATCCTTGGTCCTCTACCTCCATTACTTCCTTGTCGGACTCTAAGAGCGCATCTTCCATTGCAATGGTTAAAGCGTCCATGGTACTAGGAACAAGGAAAATTATTTAATATTTTTAATTTTATAATGTTTCATTAGTCAAAACGACTAATTTTGTGATTGGTCGCTTTATTATGCCATTTTCTGTTCGTATGTCAGCGACGCGAACGTGTTCATCACTTCCCGGATAAGTTTTAACAACTCTACCTAGTTTCCAGGAAGTCAGAGACATTTGTTCATTTTTTATAACTACTAAGTCACCTACAGATAAGTCTCGTTCAGGGTATTTCCATTTATATCTTTTATGAAGATTTGATAGAAATTCTTCCTTCCATCGTCGACAGAAGTGATGGGATAGCACTTTGACTTTCATATATCTATTTATGAGACTGATTGGGGATTCATATATAGAAGGCTCCGGTGGAGCTAGTATTGGTGATCCGATCAAAAAATGACCAGGAGTAAGAGCTACTGGCTCATTCGGATCATCACTCATTGGACACAACGGTCTCGAATTAAGACAAGCCTCAATTCTTGCGAGAACCGTCGATAGTTCCTCAAAGGTATAATTCACGGACTTAGCTTCTTTACGGAAATGAAGTTTAAAACTTCGAACTCCCGCTTCCCATAGGCCTCCCATATGAGGAGCGCCTGCTGGAATAAATCGCCAAGTTAGTCCATTAATACCGTAAGTGGAACACATCCGAGCACGACTTTCTGACAAAAATGTTCTAAAATCCCTTTCCAGTTCACGCGAAGCTCCCACAAAGTTCGTTCCGTTGTCGGAGAACATAGTAGTGGGACAACCTCGTCTCGATATAAATCGATTAAAAGCGGCCAAGAATCTATCAGTTGATAAATCTGAAGTGACTTCTAAATGGATGGCCTTAGTCGCAAAACAGACAAAAATACAAACGTAGGCCTTTAAAGTTTGACACGATCTACTATTTAAGTTTCTTATGTCAAAAGGCCCAGCAAAGTCGACTCCAGTTGTCGTAAACGGTCGGCCTATCTGAGTTCGTTCGGGGGGTAATGCTGCCATTATTTGGGTACAGGTGCGCTTACGGTCAAGAATACACCGTTTGCACCGATTAATAACAGCTCGAACTAGTGTTTTTAGTCGAGGTACCCAATATTCGATCCTTAAGATCCTGAGCATTAACTGATTTCCACCGTGGATACAAATCGTATGTACGAACTCAATCAAAAGACGGGTAAAGCGACAAGAATTTGGCAACAATATGGGATGCCGTTCGGTATAGACTAATGAGGGTGATTTTGTCAAACGACCATTAAGTCTCATAACACCCTCATTATCCAGAAATGGATTCAAAGTCAATAAAGGACTTTTCGAAGATAGTGGTCTTCTATCCAAAAGACATTGGTATTCTTCGACAAAATTTACCTTTTGAGCCAAAATGGCCAATCGTAGTTTTACTTTCTTAACCTCAATGTTTGTCACGATGGTAGACTCAAAGGAATTTTGATTTTTATGAGCCGAGTGAGTTTTATAGAAAAATCGAAATACATACACTCGAATTGCCCTATCAAGAGAAGAAAATCTCTCAAGAATGTCTTCATAATTCGAAAAAAATGAAGCATGAGATTTTACTGCACGAGCCTCTAAGTCCGTATCTAATAAAGCCAAATTTCCTAGATTCCAGGTAGTGCTTTTTTCCGAAGCCAATTTGGACCATGCCACCATAGATTGTTCTGTATCAAATCAGAGGGTGAAATACCCCGACTTCCCAAGTCTGCTGGGTTGTCGTCAGATTTGACATGGTGCCAATTATGTCTTCCGACCACTTCCTGAATTTTACAAACTCTGTTGGCTACAAAGGTTGCCCATGAACAAGGGTCCTTTTTCAGCCAAGCAAGGACGATTGTAGAATCAGTCCAACAATATATTTGACATAATGGGATGTCAATTTCGAATAATACGGATTTTAAAAGATCCGTCGCAAGAAGTGCACCACAGAGTTCAAGTCGTGGTAGAGAAATTGATTTGATGGGAGCTACTTTCGTTTCAGCAGTTAACAGATGGGTATAAATTTCGCCATTAGGTCTTTCGACTCTAGCGTAAATTACCCCTGCATAAGCTTTTTCAGATGCATCTGAAAAGACGTGAAGCTCCACTGTAGAATTAGGTATATAATTAACCCATCTAGGAATCTGGATGTCGTTTACTTCATGATATGAAGCAGCAAATTTTTGCCATTCGGCTTCAGTGGCGGGCTTAAGAGCTGCGTCCCAATCTATCTGGTCTTGCCAAACCTTCTGCATTATCATCTTAGCGACAATAATGACTGGTCCTAACCATCCAACAGGGTCAAATAATCTAGCTATTATAGATAGTACCTCCCTTTTCGTGTGACTTGATCGCATCGAAATACGATCCACATTAAAATAAAAAGAGTCCGAATGAGCATTCCACTGTAACCCAAGAGTTTTTGAGCTACTTGACTCAATAAATGTCAATAGTTTGGCATCTACTAAATGCTCAACGGGTATACCAGATAAAATGGCTTTCTCATTCGAAGTCCATTTCCTAAGAACAAACCCCGCTGATGCTAAAGCCGCTATAAGTTGATCGCGAGCGATCAAAGCGGTTGAGATCTCGTGAGTCCCAGTTAATACGTCATCGACGTACATACATTTCCGAAGTATTTTCGCCGCTAGAGGGTACTCAGCTTCGGAATCTTCAGCCAATTGTACCAAGGTACGAATGGCAAGATAAGGTGCACAATTAACACCGAAGGTTACAGTCTGTAACTCATACTCTTGAATTTCCTCCGTCGGAGAATCACGAAACAAAATTCGTTGAAATGGAGTATGAGAACTATCAAGTCTAATCTGCCTATACATTTGTGTTATATCACAATTAAACACAAACCTAAAAAAGCGCCAACGTAAAATCAGGAGAACGAGATCTGCCTGTAATGTGGGTCCCACAAATAAACAATCGTTAAGACTGTTGCCGTTAGACGTTTTATTCGACGCATTGAAAACCACACGTAATTTTGTGGTCTTTCTGTCCAATTTTATAACTGGATGATGAGGCAGGTAGCAAGAAGATGAAGGAGAGTCTTTGACTGGACGCATATGGTCTAAAGTTAAATATTCCTTAACGACGTCATCATACATATTCTTGATGACAGGATTTCTCAAGAGAGAGGATTCTGTCCGTATAAATTGCGCCCTAACATTCTGTTTAGACTGACCTAAAGTTAACGTCTCGGGAAATTCAGGTTTAAATGGTAATGTTACCACATATCTACCAGTAGAATCCCTACGAGTAGTTTTCTTATAATTGTCCTCACACATACGATCATGTGCTGACATAAGTTTCCGTTTAGGAGGTTCCTCTATTTCCCAAAATCTAAGTAAGGTACTATTTATATTATCTTCTTCAGAAAATTCAACTCTAGTGCTGTATACCTGAATTGAAGACTGAGGAACTGGACCAGTAATAATCCAGCCGAAAATAGTTTTCTGAGCCACTAATGTCCCTAAAACCTTTCTAACTGAACCCATTATAATTCGTGGATATAAATCTGCCCCTAAGAGTAGATCTACTGGTTTAGAATCAAATAAGTTAGTATCTGCCAAACGTATATTTGGCAAATCATTTCGATACTCATTCGATATAACAAATGAGGGTAAATCACCAGAGATCGTTGGTAAAACGGAGCTACTGTACTCAAAACAATTGAAGAGTCCAAGGGCGTGCCAATATAAATGGAACACGATTTCCTTGATATTACAGAATTCGCCTGGTTGATACCAGATATTTGAGCATTCGTCGATTGCGTCAAAATTTTTAAACGATTCTGTACTCTTTCGGAAATAAACGATGATTCCGAAGCAGGGTCAATGAGAGCACGAGCTGGGTACGTCATACCCTGGTGATGAATATTCACCATCGCTGTTCCTAACAATACGGTTTGGTTTTGCGAAGTATAAAACGCCTGTCTATTAATAGGAGCTGAGGTGTTAGAGCTGTTAGATGTTGCTACTTGAGAAGAATCTGTGGGTATAGATAGAGCAGCTTGTGATATAGCACTTGTGCTCGGACCCGAATTAGAAGTTCTAGAACTTCCATTTGAATCCTCTGAAGTAGGCACATTTCTATGTAACATAGTATTGTGCTTCTTTTTACAAATAGAACAACAATGCAGACTCTTACAATCTTTCACTTCATGATTTCGTGACAAACAATTAATGCAATAGCGATGTTTCTTAATAGTCGAGAATCTGCCCATTACTGAAAGTTTTTTAAATCTCTTACAATCCCGCAGAAAATGGCTTTGATTCTTGCATAAAATGCAAGAAAGGGAAGAAGATGAAGTGGCATGGTGCGCCTTCACCTTTGGAGTCGATAATTTTTTAGATTGTGGGACTTCCCTAATGTCACGTAGACATTCTAAGGTCTGAATTCTTTCTGTCAGAAATGCATCCAGATCTTTCCAAACAGACAATACGAATTTGTCTTTTATACTTTGTTCCCATAAGGTAACAGAGTTATCGGGTAGTCGTTGAACACAAAGGAAAACAATTATCGGATCCCAATTTTCCGTCGAAACATTATATATTGATAAGGCCGAAAGACAACTGTTTATACCTCTTTGTATGGTCTTGAGACCTTCAGAAGTTTCCTTTTCAATAATAGGAAGATTAAAAAGAGATTTAAGTTGGTTGTTAACCAACATACGTGGATTTTCGTAAGCAGCGCTAAGGCTATTCCACGTCATGTCAAATCCTAAATGCGAAATAGGATATTTAGCTACTATTTCCTTTGCATCACCACTAGTCTTACATATAAGATGACATATCCTTTCTATGTTGGTGAGACGAGTATTATTTACGTATAAAACAGTAAATAGATCCCTAAAAGTGGGCCAAGAGAGATAATCTCCGTCAAAGGTCTCAACATCACAGGGCGGTACTACTAAACTATGGTGAGTTTCCGTATTGTTCTGGCTAACTACTGGAGAATCACTAGTCTTTTGAGTTTGGGCATAGGTGTGCAATCGTTCTTTAATATTCGATAAACAGTTAACGAATGCATTATAAGTCGCCTGATACTTTGATGATACGACATCTATATCATCAGGTTCTGTTGTGTCCGAAGTAGCTAAATAGTCTAGATATGTCTGATAGGTTGACTTAACCTCGTTCATTAAAACCTTCAATTCATCGGAATGAACCTCTAAGCTAAAAACAGTGAGTCTTTCTTCCCTAAGACTGTTCATATTAGCTTCAAAGCTTATGAGAGCATCAGAAGCTCTAATAAAGAGAGCAAGAGCAGGCACAGACATAGTTATTTTAATATAAATAATTTAATTCAATTTAATTTTATCTTTATTTAAAAGACTTCAATTTATCACGATTTATTATTACGTAACGTATTAAAATTGCACAAAGGAAACAAATAATTTAATAAAAATTGCAAATTTTATACAAATTTTATTAAAAACTGTGCAAAATATTTAAATAACAAAATTTAATATTAGTCAAACTGACCGACCGTAGGGTAACAACTCAAAACGGAAGAAGAAGCAGATAATTGTATGTATGTATATAAAGATTATGTACAAGGTACATAAACATAAAATTCTTTATTCATTTCACTTCTTCTTTGTTTTATTTGTTATTATATTTATTGTTATATTTTATTTTTATTATTTAATTAATATTTTTCACACACGATTTCATTAAATTTATTTTTCGCACTTTCTTAAAAATTTTCTTTTAATTTTATTTTATCTTCACTATGTCTGTCCGTTTATGTAAACAAATGCACGGTAGATATATTAAGCACGGACAAAAAGGTGGTCACTAATGTCAAACAAAAAAAGGCAGTTGGCAAAGCAATCAATCACAATAATACACAAGAAAGATTTCTGTGTATGTGTGAATATAAATTTAATAAACAAGACTTTTGTTCTTTTGTCTTTCTTTTATATTTATTCTTTTATATGCACTTTAAATTTCTTTGTAATAATATAACTCAAATTCAAAGATTACGCACCTTAAAAATCCAAATTTTTTATTAATGTTGGTGGATGAAATGGTGGTGGTTTTTTCTTTCGAAGAAAAGATGGCGATCTTAAAGAAACCAAATACACAAGAAAATTAATTTGAGTGCTTCAAAAATCCGGCTCGATCGGACCAAATGTTTTTGTGTGTGCAAAAAAAAGAAATAAAAAGACAAGAAAGTTAAGTTTTTTCAATAAAAAAAGTTTATTTATTAAATTTATATTTACCTTAAAGATTCTCAAAAGGGGTTGTGCACTAAACCAAGTGTTTGTAATGGCGTTCACTTAACAAGTGTTTAAAAAAACAAAAAAAACTATGCAACTAGTTGCGAATTACTTTATACCGTTAGCGGTTTTACTAGTTAGAATTTATCTCTACACTTTTTCAAAGATGAAAAAAGAAGTAGTTAGATAAATCCTAACGTAGTATAAAGGGAATAGAAAATAGGGTTTCAAATTTATTTCTAAAATGAACAACATTCATTATAATAGTTTTTATGAAAATCGGATCAGTAGTTTTTTGTATGCCTGAACGTAAATTTGGTTTAATAATTGTTTTACAAAAAGTGTAAAAGGGGCATGGCGTCCAATCCAGATCCTGAGGTCAGACCTATGGGTATACCGAATTTCATGTAAATCGGTTCAGTAGTTTTCTGTAAGTCTCGAATGGAAATTTTGTATGACAATTATATGGAAAAAAGTGAGAATAAGAAGAATCGTGACGTCAAATTATGATTTTATATAGCATATTGTTCCACTTTAGAATAGAACTAATAGTGTTCTAAATTTCATTAAATCGGTTCAGTAGTTTGTCCGTGAAAGCGTAGCAAACAGACATTCTCTTTCATATAATTAGAGGATAATATATAGGTAAGGACAATTTTATAAAAAGTGGGCGTAGAAAGGGGTGTGGCATCGGATCATTATCTTATATATAGCCTATAGTTCTTTCCAAGCTTATAACAATCGGTATGCAAAATTTCAGGCAAATCGGAAAATTGGTGTAATAATGGTTTTACAAAAAGTGGGCGTAAAAAGGGGCGTGGAATCCGATCAAGATCTTATATAGCCTATTGTTCCTTTTGGGGCTAGACCTATTAGCGGTCCAAATTTCATGTAAATCGGTTCAGAAGTGTTGCCGTGAAAGCGTAACAAACAAACACACAAACAAATATATATATATATATATATATATATATATATAGGATTTGCATGTATGCATGTGTGTGAAAGATTTAAGGATTTTCAAAATACATATATATAATTTTGTTCTACACAAATTGATAATGCAACTAGTTAAATACGGTTAAAGCGCTTTTAGGGGCAGGACCTAGTATGGGAGATATGACCAATTATAGACCGGTCGTAAAAAATTCTTTAAGCTAAATTTCTGTTCATAAAGGCTATATTTCAGTCAAATTTAGTATCTATATCGTAATTTAGTAATAAGTAATGTCTGTTTAAGTGATTTTCAGAAGGGAACCTTATATGAGACCGACCGCACCCATGTTATGAACCGATCATGAAAAAAGCTTGAAATAGAATTTTTGTATACCAAACTAATATTTGTGCCAAATTTTGTATCAAGAGCTTTATTTGGTAATGAGTAATGTGCGTTTAAGAGATTTTCGTAAAAGGACCTTGTATGTTAGCTATGACCAACTAACCTAACCGATTACAAAGGGACCTAATTTGGACCCAAGTAAAATTATACTTGTAAAAGTATACAGTCTGCTGAACCTATGACCAATTATGTATATAAAGAAAAAATTTCAAAATTCTGTATCTATATCATTATTTGGTAATGAATATTGTGCATTTAAGTGATTTTCTGGAGGGGACCTAGTATGAGAGCTATGACCAAATATGGACCGATCGTAAAACAGTTTTATAGTGTAATTTATGTATATATGACCAATATTTTTGCTAAATGTATGGATATCAATATTTTGTAATGAGTTATACGTGTTTAAGGAATTTTCGGGAGGGAACCTGGCACAGTGGTATAAGAAAAAAAAAGAGGGAAATAATTCGGTAACTTCTAAACGGTTAATTTTATCTAAATTTGGTATGCACAAAGAGGAGGTGTTGTCGAGTTTAGGTTTTGAATTTGGACCTTATAGGCCAACCAGGGGCCCGGTGGGGGTCCTCAAATTAGGACACTTCGGCTATGTTAAATTTTTAAAACGATCCTATTTCTTCATTTGAGTTCCGATTTAAAAACAATTTCGTATATAGAATCTCCTCATCGAGCACTATAATAGTACTAGGTAAATTCTCTAAAAGATGTTGAGTTTTCCCTAATTAATTTGTCACTTAAAAAACATTAGGTAGGCATGTTATATATCAATGGAAAGGTAATTTTGTCTATTTAAAAATTAAAAAATGTTTTTTATTCAGTTTTTGCGAAGATACAAATTTTTCAAATTGCAATAAAAATTTTATTTATGAATATTTTTTGATGAAATTTTTCAGTTAGGTAGATTTTTTTACTCAATTTTCTTATTAGAAATCCCGGAATTCCCAAAAAAGTTTTAAAAAATCCAAAAAATGTGATTTTTTGGTTTTTTGCCTATTATATCCATACTAGAGGCGGGGTTATCGAAACCCGTTACAAAATGATTAAGAACATATTGGGTCATATAAAACAGGTCACTATAATTTGATATCGACTATGCGATTTGAGAATTTTTGCTCAAAATTGAATTTTCCATAAAAAATAGGGTTTTTTTGGATGGGCCTGGTCCCCTCGCTATCAAAAATTTTTAGGTTTTGTTTCATTTATCGTATTTTATGTAAAGTCATCTTTCCAAAAAGTATAAATTCTATATACATCTTCTTAGAAACTTTTTAGATAACTTAAAATTTTTAATTTTTTAAATTAAAATGCCTATAATATATATATATATAAACTTGTTAAGCGAATAGAAAAAAATGGCGAAAATCGGGATTATTTGGACCCACTATTATCAAAAAACTAAAGAAAGGACGGTAAAAATTTTAAAATTTTAATTTTCAAATGCGAATATCTCCTAAACTATAAGTGATAATTTACTGCTATTTTTTTACGACATTTTTTTTAGTGCTCGATGAGGAGATTCTATATACGAAATTGTTTTTAAATCGGAACTCAAATGAAGAAATAGGATCGTTTTAAAAATTTAACATAGCCGAGGTGTCCTAATTTGAGGACCCCCCGCCGGGCCCCTGGTTGGCCAATAAGGTCCAAATTCAAAACCTAAACTCGACAACACCTCCTCTTTGTGCATACCAAATTTCATTAAAATCGGATTAACCGTTTAGTTACCGAATTATTTCCCTCTTTTTTTTCCTATACCACTGTGCCTTGTAACAAAATGTTCAAATAACATTTCTGTGTACAAAAATAGTATTTATACCAAATTTTTTATGGGTATCACTATTTGGTAATGAGTTATGTGCCTTTAAGTGTTTTTCTGAAAGGGACCTTGTATGGGAGCTATGATCAATTATGGACCGATAGGAAAACAAATTCACAGCAATATTTCTCTGTATATGAGCAATACTTGTGCTTGTGAATATCTTAATTTAGTAATGAGTTATGTGTTATATGGATACATTAATTTAGTAATGATTTATGCGCGTTTAAGTGATTTTCGAGAGGGAACCTTGTATGGGAGCTATGACCAATTATGGACCGATCCAAAACAACTTTCATAGTAATATTTCTGTATATAAAAGCAATACTTGTACCAAATTTTATATGGATATCTTCATTTACAAATGAGTTATGTGGTTTTAAGTGATTTTCTGAAAGGGACCTTGTATGGGAGCTATGACCAATTATGGACCGATCGCAAAAAAAATTTCACAGTAATATTTCTGTGCATATCATAGTACCAAATTTTATATGGATATCTTAATTTAGTAGTGAGTTATGCGCGTTTAAGTGATTTTCGAGAGGGGACCTTGTATGGGAGCTATGATAAATTATGGACCGATAGGAAAACAAATTCACAGTAATATTTCTCTGTATATGAGCAATACTTGTGCCAAACTTTATATAAATATCTTAATTTAGTAATGAGTTATGTGCGTTTAAGTGATTTTCGGGAGGGGACCTTGTATAGGAGCTATGACCAGTTATGAACCGATCGGAAAAAAATGTATTAGTAATATTTCCGTGCATATAAGCGATACTTGTACCAAATTTTATATGGATATCTTAATTTAGTAATAAGTTATGCGCGTTTAAGTGATTTTCGAGAGGGGACCTTGTATGGGAGCTATGACCAATTATGGTCCGACCCAAAACAACTTTCATAGTAATATTTCTGTATATAAGAGCAAAACTTGTACCAAATTTTATATGGATATCTTCATTTACTAATTTATAGACCGATCGGAAAAAATTTCTCAGTAATATTTCCGTGCATATAAACAATACTTGTACCAAATTTTATAGGAAAACAAATTCACTGTAATATTTCTCTGTATATGAGCAATACTTGTGCCAAACTTTATATAAATATCTTAATTTAGTAATAAGTTATGTGCGTTTAAGTGATTTTCGGGAGGGGACCTTGTATAGGAGCTATGACCAGTTATGAACCGATCGGAAAAAATTTCTCAGTAATATTTCCGTGCATATAAGCAATACTTGTACCAAATTTTATATGGATATCTTAATTTAGTAATGAGGTATGCGCGTTTAAGTGATTTTCGAGAGAGGACCGTGTATGAGAGCTATGACCAATTATGGTCCGATCCAAAACAATTGGAGCTATGGCCAATTATGGTCCGATCCAAAACAACAACAAGCAATACTTGTACCAAATTTTGTATGGATATCTTCATTTACTAATGAGTTATGTGGTTTTAAGTGATTTTCTGAAAGGGACCTTGTTTGGGAGCTATGACCAATTATGGACCGATCGGAAAAAAATTTCACTGTAATATTTTCTTGCATATGAGCAATACTTGTACCAAATTGTATGTGGATATCTTAATTTTGTAATGAGTTATGTGCGTTTAAGTGATTTTCGGGAGGGGACCTTGTATGGGAGCTTTGACCAATTATGGACCGATGGAAAAATAATTTCAAAGTAATATTTCTGTATGTGAGAGCAATACATGTACCAAATTTTATATGGATATCTCAATTTAGTAATGAATTATTTGCGTTTAAGTTATTTTCGGGAGGGGACCTTGTATGGGAGCTATGTCCAATTATGGACCGATCCAGAATATTTTTTCTCTGAATGAATTCTATTGACATAAGATTTTAATTTGTAAAATTTTGTAAAGATTTCGACATTGTGACGGAAGTTATTAACAAAAAACCCATTTTCCAGGAATATGTACTTTTGTATGGGAGGTATGTGAAATTGTCGACAGATTCTAGCAATTTTCAGCAGGAATCAAGCTTTTGTGTAGAAACGTATGTATGGTGATTTTCATGGAAT